CCCCCCCCCCCCCCCCCGTCCTAGGGGACAGGACAAAATAAGACCCTAGGAAATGCCGTTAATCCCTCCCCTCCCAGAAACCTGTCATGTCAATATTATGTTTCATTTTGCTTTATGCGTAGCCAGTAACATATTCTGTGAAGGCACTCTAAACATTTGGGAGCTATTGAATAACTTACTCAGATTATGTTTGGAATGTTACAACTGACACAAACTGCTCTCTACAAACTTAGGCACTGTGTTGTTGGACTTGGAGAAATTTGACTTACCCAGCATTGCTGAAGCAGTGGTTGAAAACATGGTGATCACAGACCAGCTTAAACAGAAAGACAGTAATAAAGTGCTAGCAGCCTTACTTCTACGTCATAGACATCAACATCAACAGAGTTCCAAATTGAACCGTCGTGCATCTTCTAAGAAGTCCAAAAAATTTGGGGTACGTGCTGCAGATAATTTAGGACTTGATGCACACTCAGAGACAGGAAATGGTGTTGTTAGTTTGAAGATTGAAGAACAGAAACAGGTTTGTCATTTGTCTGTTGTTGTTGTTGTTATCTGTTGTTAATTAAATAATGTTCCCTCTCGTTGAAATGAAATTACCATTAATTTGTTGGAAATGTGGCCTTCACTGAAAACTTGTTGGAAGCAAAGCATACCACATGGTCACACTTTTGTTGTGTAATACAATAGCTATCATTAATGATGCAAATAGTTGTAACAGTGTACCATCGTGGATTAAAAATTTTGTCTCGCAAAAAAGTTTAGGTATGTTTTTCTGTAATTTGTTTGTAATCTTTTCATTTCTAATGGACATCAGGATCCACTTGCTCTTGAGTCTGCTGTGGATGAAAATGAAAACAGACAAGAGTCAGATGTGAAATCAAGAATTCCAGAGGGAGCAGAGGCTACAAACGTCCTTGTAGGGACTCTGGATGAGTTGCAACATCCTGTGCTAGCATTTGTCCGCCTTGCCAAGGGATGTCACCTGGAGCAAATGACAGAGGTGTCCATTCCAGTCAGATTTTTGTTCGTCTTACTGGGTCCAAGCAACAATGGAGAACTGTACCATCAGATGGGTCGTTCTATTGCCACCTTAATGTCAGATCAGGTATGCTGTTCATAGTATTGTAGGCACTTACTGTAATTCCCTCTCTTAATAATGGCTTAGTATGGGAAAAACTCTGAATTTTCAATACAAAAATGTGTGTTAACCCTGAATATTTGTACATATTAAGGAGGTCCTCTTTACTCTTTAATAAGCCATTCCTCCCCATCTTATCTTGAATAATAATTATTATTTTTATAAGGGTATTTTGAAATAGGATGAAGTTAACGGAAAGAAAAAACAGTTAGGAACTCAAGACAACTACAACTAACTCATCAGTTGAAATTGATTGTAAATGAATATTAAAAAAAATAATGTGTTTAGGTTACATGAATGATGATATTTTTTCAGGCTTTCCATGATGTTGCATACTGTGCAGATTCTCGTGAAGATCTTCTGGAGGCCATTAACGAGTTTCTTGTGGACACCGTGGTATTACCGCCAGGCAATTGGGATCGTAGTGTACTGTTACCCATCCTCATTGCTCAAAGCAGAGCTATTGCTATCAGGAGAAAAATGGCCAAAGCTGGTAAGAATGTTACACATTGGGCTGTATTCTTTTCTGTTATGACCACAATGCAGCCCTGTCAAAATGTGCTGGCAGCTGACAATTTCACCTTTTGCAGTAAATTGTTTGCTTCCTAATTTATGATGGAGTTCACTTAGCCTGCAAGAACAGCCATCCTTCTTCACTCCCAAATGCCACTTGGGGCTGGAGCGAAGAAGGACGGCTGTTTTCACAGGCTAGAGTTCACTAATCCTGATTAGAAAATAGCTCAAAGAAAATACACGCTCTGATTGGTTAAAAATTGTATTTGGATAACTCGATAGAAAAACAGAACTAGCATGAACTGTTGATGTAATGATGGCTCAAACAAAGATCATTTACATTTTGCTGATCAAAGTAAACAACTTGTTTTCTTATTTTTGTCATGGTATTTTTTAAAAGAAATAGAATGGCATGAATGGGATGTAGTCCATTGCTGGTTTCTTACCAGCATTTTGTAAACTAGAGCAGTTTACAATTGAGTGTCGTAAAACTAAAACCAAGCCAATTCCATACCAGGTACACCAGTTAGCCAATCTCAAACCATAGTAAAACCAAAACCGAGTAATAGCCTGATTGCATTCAACACTCAATGGGAAACTGCTCTATCTTTGACAATTTGCTCTCACTCATGGGGTTAAATTCTCAGTTTCGAAAAGATGAGAATAAAACTAGGACTAAAGCCACAAACTCCTGATTATTGTTGACATTTTATGTATAGAATTCACCTTGCTGACTACATCTATATTATTTTGTAGTCATGTGCCTTTTCAAACTTAAGTAGACCTCTTTACATTTCAAGTGAAACTGCCACTGTGTTCCCTAAGATCTTCAACCTTGGCTTAATTTCTGTTTTTGCAGCTTCATCCTCGCATTCTGAAGGGGATTCTGCCTTAGCTCGAACAGGCACCTTTTTTGGAGGGCTGTACCAGGATGTCAAGCGACGAGGCAAAGTTTACATCAGTGATTTTAGGGATGGCTTCAATCTGCATACCCTATTTGCATCCCTTTTTCTTTATTTTGCTTTTTTTGCAACAAACGTTGCATTTGGAGGTCTCTTAGAAGACAAGACGGGCGGCCAGCTTGGGGTCACAGAAGTGATTGTTGCAGCCTCTGCATGCAGCATACTGTTCGCACTATTTGCAGGGCAGCCTGTGATGATTATAGGAGCTACTGGTCCAATATTGGTCTTTGAACAGAGCATATATGAGGTAATAACTGTACGATTTTAAAAGTGGTCTTTACCATACCCTTATTTACCAGGAGCTGTATGGAGGAGATAGGACAAGAAAGGGGTTAACAATAGTTTGAAACTCAGACGTTATCTTTAAGTTTACTTATTTCACTCCTTAAGTGCCTTGAGTGATGTGGTATTCCACGTAAGGGGTGGTGAATGGTAAATGCGAGACTTTGGGAATAGGTGAGACTAGCATTTTTCTTTGAAACCCTGGTGATCAGTTCATTTTTAAGCAGACAGCAAATGAGAGTAAGAAACATGATATGCTACAGTGCACGGTCTAGATGTTCCACCTATTTCACACAGACAAAATAACTGAAATATTGGCTTGCATCATTTTAGTACCACAGTTCATGAAAAGCTATATAATGGCAAGCTCTTTGTACCCATTATGATCCTATGATACAGGCTAATAAATTATTTGCTTACATTGCTTGCCTATGCTACTACACAATAGGGAGTTTAACTAGCTACAATGTCAATGTCAATTAAAAATTAAATTTTTATTTTACCTACGAGTCTCGAGATACTCTTAAGTCATTGAGTTTGTTTCTCTTTGTCAAAACTATCTCAAATTTGAATATGGAACATAGCATAAAATTTGAAATAAATTTTAAAAATAATCCATCATGGTTCATATTGTCCACACAACGCAGAATTTGGTCATTCCACGTTTGTTGGTTTGCAGAGGACAACAAAGAAAGGTACCAAGAGTTATAACGCATGTGCTCGGCCACTGTTCTGCTTATTAATTCTTTTGTTTAGCAACGTTGCCGTTGCCATCATGGTTTTCTTAAACTCCCTAATGTTGTATAGAGCACTGCAGCCAAGGAGGAGAAATCCAACCGAGCTCGGGCTTCAAAGTGTAAAGCTTCTTATACTGTGTGCTTTATCTTTCAGTTTTGTAAGGCATATGATGTGGAGTTTCTTACTTGGCGTTGTTGGATTGGTTTCTGGGTGATGATCATTCTGTTTGGCGTGGTGGCTTTAGAAGGCTGCTTCTTGATCAAGTATTTTACTCGGTTCACTGAGGACATATTTGAGCTTCTCATCTCAGCAATCTTCATCTATGAGCCAATAGCAGTGTTGATAAAGGTGAGGGCTTTGAGTTGATTCAGCACAAGTTATTTAATGTGCTTGTTTGCAACTTCCAATAGCCTGTGTCACAGACAGTCCACACCACCTTTAGGATTTTGCGACACATCCCTCTGCACTACAGGTTACCCATCCAGAAGAGCAGCAATATAGGCCTGGTTTTCCTTCTAGGCCAATAAGCTCTAAAAAGGCTCCATATTTTTCATGGTTTACCCTGAAAATATCATGTACCTACCTTTGATCAGGTGACATGGCACTTAAGTTGTGAGTCAAATTACTGAACTTAAATCCACTCAACTTTCTAGATTTTGCATCTTGAGTTTATTTTACAAATAGTTGTTAGCCCAGACATTTTCAACTATGCATGCAATATGAATCTGAAATAACATTGTACTGTAATTGTTTGCAGCTATTCAAAAAGAATCCTCTTAACAGATCAGGAACGGGGAAGGATTATGGTGGAGTCGAGGTCAAAGGAGAACCAAACACTGCTCTTCTGTCCACCATCTTGGTGTTGGGAACGTTCTTCATAGCTTTCTACATGCGCAAGATCAGGACAAGTCACTTTTTGGGAAGGAGGGTTTGTACAAGATTTTGTTTCTTTGTCCTCACTCCTAAACTTCAGTAGCATATAGTATTATCCAAGTTACGGTTATCAGGTCGCTTCTGTAGTTCTAATTAATGTTAACACTACAAGATTAGCCTAAAAGCAGGCTCTTTGCGGACTTTGAGAGAGGCGAGGGAAGGGAGAGTGCTCACAGGCTACTGCAAGATGAAAGAACAAGTCAGGGTTGCCACAGGTCGGGGTAAAAAATCCTCAAGGTTAGGGAAAAGTCAGGGAATTTTATTTTGAGTCAGGGAAAATTGATGTTTTGAAGGGAAAATTGAAATAATTGAACACAGCTGATTTAATCCTATTGAAAGTTGGAAGAAACATTTGGCATCACTAATATCAACGATATTTTTCCTTAATGAAGAAGGTTAAGTTGTTGAAAACTTATCAGTGTTAATGAATGGGTGGAAAGACTGGTTGCTGGTTGTGAAGAGAGGCTAGAAGCCTTTACTACATGATTGTATGTCAGACATTTTGTATTTATTTGGTCAGGGAATTTTTATTTTTGTCGGGAAAACGTCAGGGAATTTGAAAACTGATGTCTGTGGCAAGTCATTGACTAGTATACTTACCTGAGCCTTGTTTGAACCTAATGTCACCTTCTGAGCTGATTGCTTTAATTAACTCTTTGCATGTGTTGCGTGCCTACATTTTTGATGTTTGGTTGTTGTTGTTCTTTTTATTCCAGACCAGAAGACTCGTCAGTGACTCTGGTATTGTTGTAGCCATGTTAATTATGGCTGTGCTGGATTTTTCTCTTGAAGACAAAGTCATCACTGAACATGTGTCGATTGACAATCCATTAACAGAAGGCTTCAACCCAACACAGCATCCGAAGAGAGGCTGGTTTATTAATCCCGGCGGCATGAACAAAAGCATGTCCATGGGCTGGATTTTCGCAGCAATTATTCCAGCTTTTTTTGTTGGTATTTTGCTGTTTATGGAAACCGAGATGGCTGGGGTGCTGTTGAGCAAGAAGGAACACAAACTGGCCAAAGGCCCAGGCTACAATCTAGACATGTTCGTGGTGGGCATCTTGACGTTTGGCTGTTCTCTTCTTGGTCTGCCATGGATGTGTGCAGACACTGTCCGCTCGGCATCGCACGCCAATGCTCTGTCCATTTACAGCACCTCCCATGCACCTGGTGAGAAGCCACATATTATCGAAGTCAAAGAGCAGAGGATTTCAAACATCATTATTCATCTGCTCACAGGTGAGAGAGACCACTCTTTCATTTTCTTTGCTTCTCTTCATTTGACGAGTTTCTCTAAGGCTTCTGTCAGTACCTGATTGGTAAATGTTTCCTAATGTTTATTCTAAAAAAAATGTTTTCATCTATGTAACAGTTAGGTCATTTTCATCGTGTTAACAAGCTTCCACTTCTTATGGTCTTCACTCTTTTAAGTATTTTGTATGCAATACTTGAAACTCTCTGCCTGAGAACATAAGAACGCAACCTACTTTATCTGGTTTCAAACGCGTCACGAAAACAGTCTCCTTTCAGACATGATTGCTGATCACTGCACTAGGCTTTGAAAGTTAAATCTCTATAATGTAGACAAACAAAATAGTTAATAGTAGTTCTTGCTTTTTTCCTTGAAGATGTTAGATTTTTAGCTTCTCGGTAAATTCGAGATAAAATTGTCATGTATTGTATTGTATGTATATTGCAAAAACGTAGCTTGCCCGAGTGCTTGACACTATGATGATCATCTGTGATGCTGTTGCAGGTTTATCCATTCTGCTTGCTCCAGGACTTCATCTTATTCCCATCCCGATCTTTTTTGGTGTTCTCCTGTACCTTGGTGTGGTGTCAATGTATGGCTTGCAGATGGTGGACAGATTCGTGATGCTCTTCATGCCGGCTAAACATCATCCCGATGTTTCTTACGTCCGGAAGGTACGCTGGGTACCCGATCAGTATCATAGGTCCGCAGTGCGTGAAAACGACTTCAGCTACTAAGCCCTTTGCACGTAATATCGAAACAAGTATTGCTACTTCCCCCTGATTGGAATACTAGCGGCTGCAAGGGGCGAGAAAAGTAGTTAAGTGATGCTCCCAGATCTCCTCCAACTTAATGTTGAGCTGGTGTTTTGGTCTGTGCAGTCTTGGAGATTGGGGGGAGAGGGGCCATTTAGGGAGGAAGGGAAAATGTTTTTTCCAAGACGTTCAAAAATATAACTTTACAATGAGTTGCGTCAACAAGTCCGTTCCCGTTGTTCTTATGCCTTAACAAGACAAAACAAATACTGTGGCGACCAGCGAACAAATCCCCTCCCTTCGAGAAGAAATTAAAACTACGAACAAAAAATCTAAATCTATAGATTCTTGTTATATGAATGCTTTGTTTTGATATTTGTTCAGGTGAGAACCAGAAAGATCCATATCTTCACCATAATTCAACTGCTCGCCTTGGCTTTCATTCTGGGAATTAAGCTGTCTTCTCTTGCACCGTCATTTCCATTTTTCATCATCTGCTTGATTCCTCTGCGCAAGCTGTTAACAAAGTTCTATGACGAGCACGAAATGGAAGAGGTATGTTGATTGTGATATGTTGAATAGAGTGTTTTGATTGGTCAAGGTATGCTGATTATATTTTTGACCCTAATCTACAATACAAAATTTGTGTGATCTGATCGGTTGACGAGGCATACCGACTGTAATCCACCGACGAACTCTAGATGAACTGTATCTATCATGTATATACTTTTGATTTTATTTTGTTTTTTCACGACCCGATAGGTTACTGAGTTTTAATTTTCATCGTGCTTAAATAAATGTTGTCTGTCTATGTCTGTCTGTCTATCTAATTCCTTCGTTTTGATCAATCAAGAAGGCAACAGTATGCGACATACCCCCTGGATGGAATACCAGTTCATCATGGGTCTCCCCAGCATTTTCTCTCCTTTGTTTCTTTCATTGACTGATGTTATTTATGTTTCGTTTGATAGCTTGACAATTCGGAATCCGAAGATGAGGATAGTGACTACGATTGATTTTTCATTGCACCTGGCGTGACTGTAACCTTCTCCTCCGCAGACAGATCTACGTGACTACGTGACTTAGATTACGTGACTTAGATTACGTGACCGGCAATGTGTGACTTGCGTGACATTGAGACCACAGTTTGTCGTTGTCCTTGGAAAGAAGCATGACACATTTTGTGGTCAGCGTGATATGTTCAGCCTATCTCGTACAAGTTGTTAGTCATGCAACACCTCATAATGATGCTACTTGACATTGACTCTCCTGTATCTGAAATTTATATAATGTGAAAGACATTGATAGTTTTTGAGTGGAATACATGGCTAATTGACAATTATTCCAGTCGCGCTTTTTGGAAACGAGATGGTAGGTAGCCAAAGAGGCGCGCTAAACCCATCTCATATCCAACAAGCGCGAGTGAAGTAATTGTTTTATTAAAAACGCCCCCAAAATATAGAAAACTAGACTAAAATAAAAATAAAAAAACGCCTCCCAAAAATATGCGTACGCTTACCATATTTGTAGAGCAGGGTATAATGGCTCATATGTCATAATGGCTAAGTCGATGAAACTCTTGAATTGCATTATCTAATGATCCAGTTTTTAACAATGTAGTAGACAGACTTTGAGCAAGATTGCGGGAACACATTGTGATGATTTTTACATTGCTCTGTAACATATTACAACACGTTTTGGATATTTAGTATTTTGACACTAGATTATTTTTGGATTTCAAAATAATTTTCTATTATAAATGTCGCAAGTACGTATTAAGAACACGTGTTGCCATATCAATCAATACGCACTTAGAATGAGCTTTTCTTGTACAGTTTTCCTTTTTTAGATCAGCTAAGATTGTTAAAACGTGTTGTTTAATTCTCTACAGTACTGTTAGTTTTAAAGAAGAGCTCTTGTTTACTGCAGAGATAATGTTGTAAATTTAGTTTATTGTTGTCAACGAAGCAAGTTATCCTTTTGTAAAACTTTTGATTTGCCGCATTCCTTTACATGAGCATTTCTTAGCTTCCCAAAAATTACCAGAAATCGCCTGGAAACTTTACTTTCTTTTCGTTTTTCGTCCAATTTATCTCCTTAAAAATTCAGTTGATTTCCTTAACGTTTTCTTAATATCAAATTTCATCTTATCCTCAAGCCTTGCAGTTTTGACCCCTGAAGGTATGCGGTAACCTAAATAATTCTGTACGTGATGTTGTAATTAATAGTTCTAGTTGTTATCAGACAAAGGAAATACTTTGGAACTTAAAAGAAGGTTGCCACATGTCGGGAAATGGTCAGGGAAAAAAAATTCTTCCAGGTCAGAGAAAAGTCAGGGACTTTTATTGTGAGTCAGGAAAAATTGATATTTTGAAGAAAAGTCGGAAAATTGAAATAATCGAACAAGGCTGATTTAATACCATTGAAGGCTGGAGGAAACATTTGGGGTCACGTGATCTCGGAGATGTTTTCCCCCAATGAAGAAGGAAACTCAGTCTTAATGAACGAGTAGAAGGACGGCTGTAAGTCGAGGTCAAAAGCCGCTACTAGATCTGATATTATGTATTTATTTGGCCGGGAAATCTTTTTTTTTTTCAGGGAAAAGTCAGGCAATTTTGAAAAGTGATGCCTGTGGCAACCATGTAAAAGGGAAATATACTAATAAAGGTTACGTTAGCGTGGTTACTGTACTATATAAGGGCGTCGGTGAAGTCTGTACGACTAAGTGGCCCATCAGGCCGAAGCTTATCCCGGTTTTTGTAGCATGAAGCGATTAGGAGTATTTCTACTTCCTCCTAGATGGGATGCTGGTTCCCCCCCCCGCCCCCCGAGCATTAAGTTCACCGGTACCCATTTATATACTTGGGTGGAGAGAAGTACTGTGTAAAGTGAAGTATCTTGCCCTGGAACACAATGCATTGTCTCCGGGTAGGGCTCGAGCCCAGACCGTTCGATCCGGAAACGAGCGCAAAAACCATGAGGCCACCACGCCGCATATCACTGCAAATCCGGGCGCACGCGGATCAAAAAGTAAATTCTCCTGAATGTTATTCAATTCTCCTCAATAACACCTTAATAAATGTAAAGAAATCAGAAAGGAGAATTCTTACGCTAATCGGTTCTCTTCTGAGCGTTTTGTGTTGACAGCCGTTTGAAGAAATTTGTATCTATAAGGCCTCCTCTACACTACGCTGGAAGAATTTCAAAAAGGAGGTTTCACCATGAAAACACATCAAATGTTTTCCGTCCACACTGCGCCGGAGGAATTTTTAAAAGGAACAATCACCGGTCATTTTGGATTTGTGTTTGAGGAAACTCGCTCAAGGAAATCACATGATTATCGTGACGCCATTGTTTTCGAAACTTGAGCTCCGTTTTCAAAATGTTTACTTTTCCGTCCTCAATGAAACGAAAATCCGGCGTTTTCAAATTAATTCCTCCGGTTTGGAGAGCGTTTCCAAAAGTCCGTTTTCGTGACGGATTAGTGTGGACGTTAGGCCTAACCATAGAAATAAAGCCGCGTTTTTAAATTTCTCCGCCCCACTGTAGACGCTGCCTAAAGCGTTTTGTCCAGCAGGTCAGTAGAATGTGAGTCTTGCTGTTTCAAGAATTTGGCTGCTTTTTGCAGTGATAAATATCTCATTCTTTTGTGGCTGATGGAAGAAAACAATAATATGCAACAATAAATTCAACAATTATTTTTGTATTTTACATGAACTTTGTCCATTTAACATACATACTTGTTCAGGTTTCCATATATCGTTATTTGTTGGTGCTTCATTTTCAGACAGTTTCTATGGAGTAAGCCAATGCTAGCCCAGGTGAAGAAAAGAACCCTTTTATTGTTTTTTGTTGTTGTTGTTTTGTTTTTTTGTAACTGAAAATATGTGTTTTTTTCACCATTGAATTTGAAACGTAAGCAAAAAAAAAAGAGTACTATTAAAACTCCAGCAAGCCCAACAGTTAATTCCTCCTTATTGCTATTTACACAGTTGTTATACCAGTATTACTAACATTCACAACAACAGCGATTCTATTTTAAAATTACAACCTCTAAATAACTTAAATGGCTCCGTTTGTACGAGGACATATTAGTGTTTAACGTTCAGTTTTTACTGATCCGTCCGATCTCCTTTTGCTATCGACATACCTTCTTGGACAGCAGTAAAGGCGCAACGTAACTTACGGATTTAACCATTTTTGTTGAAACCTATGTTTTTTTTTTCTGTTACTGAAAAGTCTAATTGTCTTTATCGCCATCGTAGATCCCTCTACGAAATCATTTATTTAGTTCTTTATCGCTTTTTACGTCGTCCTGGTCTTGGTCTCCGTTATCACCATCCATCTTATTGTAAGCCTCGGTGAACTTTTCGTCAATAAAGCCCTCAACCAGCATTTCAATTTGCTTCTCGTCTGGACACTCCAGTTCCTCTAGAATCTTTCTGATATCTTCCACAGCCTTGGAAGTCGAGCCTCGATGCAGCTCTAAAGATGATCTCACAAGCAGCGTGATGTCCAATGGCAGCAGAGCAGCACTTATCACTGACCCAGCGATATGAGCCATCCGAGTCCCAGCAAGCGCCGCGCTCCGGGCCACAGCACCTGCGGTAGCGAACGCTGACGCTGACACCGTAGCAGCGGACGACAATGTCCGAAAAAACCTGGCACCAAATTCCACCTTCTCTTCAGCGGAAGTCGTGTAGTCATTTGGGAATAGACCGTGAAGAAATTCAAATCCACTTCCTTCTAATTC